CCAATTTGATCCGGGATAAATTGTTGGAGAGAAAGTTTTTCCTCACTAAAGTCTACCCATTTTTCTACCTGAGCCCATAATCCAATAACATCCCAAGAACCCATCTCTTTACTTATTTTATTCGTGTTATTTGCTGTTTTAGTTGATAAGTACAATCAAAACCCCCCTGTTATTTGACACTTGTGTCACCCAAAACTTGAATCTTGCTTTTATTCGTAAATGTTTTTACCTATGATTGACTTGAACAAATTTATACTTGGCTCTTGAATCATAAGCACGTACCACTCCCTGTGGGATTCGACCCTAACTCACTTAGTTGGGTTATATTACTGACTAAAGATCGTTGACACTTAGTATTGGATGAAGTGTCTTGATACGTGAAATCACCAGGTACAAAAGCAGACTGTCCTTTATCTATTAAACTATCCATCACTCTCTGCATTCTGTTAGTCATCACTTTCGAAATGATTTTGTATACAATAATACAACAAGAGATAGGTGTATACTCTGTTATTTTTGAAGAGTGCTTCACTTTGGGAATCAGAGTTACTGTGGTACAGTTTATAGCTTTATGTAATTTCCCTGTTATGAAGAACTTTTGGACAGCCTCAATGATCTCTTCTCCTACTATTGCCCATGCCTTGAAAAAGTATGCATTAAAACCATCACACCATGGTGCTTTATTTTCATTTATCCCCTGCAAAGCCTGCACTATTTCCTCCTTTGACACAAGTGCTATTAGTTGAGCTTGTTGGCCTCTATCTAATCGAGGTCCATCTTTCATTGCTTGACAATTCACAGCTGGTAATTGAATTGCACAAGTTCTCAGTAGTTTTTTTTTTGTAGAAATCAAGTATCTTATCTTCTATATCATTAGTGGTTGTCACTATGTTCCCATTGGCATTGATTCAGCTAGTATTTCTGTTTTGAGCAATCCTGTTCCTTAAGCTATCATGAAAATAAGCTGTATTCCCATCTCCCAATTTCAACCATTGAACTCTAGACTTTTGTCTCATGATGCTTTCTTCTACCTTCAACCATTTCTCCAAATTCATTTTGGTCTCCCTTTCTGTTTCAATCATGCTTAAGGGTTCCCCTGGTTGTCTCATAGCTCTTTGGATATCATGTAATTGTTGCCTGAACATCTTTATTCTCATTTCCACTCCTTGAAACTCAATTTTGTTTAAGCACTTTAAACCTTGCTTCACTTTCTTTAATTTCTGCCACACCCTCATCATATTTTTTCCTCCTGCACTATCTAGCCATGCTGTCTGCACTGTCTCCTGGAATTTCATATGCTATGCTAGGTGATTTAAAAATCTGAATGGTCTGGATCTCAGCTCAACTTGTTGTACAAAGTTAATACTGAGTGGTGAGTGATTAGAACAACCAGGGTCCATATTATGCACCTCCATGTTAGGCATAGTCAGCATCCATCTTGCATTTACTAGAGCCCAATCTATTCTATTATATGTGTGCCCATTAGTCCAGGTGTATTCTCTGCCAGTGTGTTTTAAAATTGTCATACTTCTGTCCCTTAGAAACCCATCAAAATCTCTTATTTCTGCATCTTGTACAGGATCCCCCACCATTCTATCTTCCCCTCTATGAAAAGTATTATAATCTCCCATAGCAACCCAAGGTGTCTGTTGGTTATTATGAATACTCCTTAATTGCTCCCACAACTTTCTTCTATCAGCTACAGTATGTAAACCATAAACAACTGTGAAGCTAAAACTAATATTTATCCCTCTACAATCTACTTCTATATGAATATGTTGCTTAGACTGATCCACTAGATTGCATCTAATCACTTGAGGATCCCATAATATCCATATTCTGCCTTTACTACTAGATAGAGAGTTAGTTATACTTTCCCATCCAGGTGCAACTTTCTTCAGGATGTGACCTTCATGCTAGACTTTTATTTTATGTTCTAGAAGTGCTATAATACTAACTTTAGTAGTCTTTATAAGCATTGCAACTTCTTTCTGCTTATAGACTTTATTCAAACCTCTTACATTCCAAGTAATTAACTTCATTTATGAGGGGTGCTAGTACATTACTGTAACACCCCAGAAATTCTATGACTTAAGTTAGAGCCTCACTTTATGAATAATGACTTTAAAAAATAGTTAAAATTATGTTTCTAAACCTAAATTAATGCAATTGACTTGGTTTGGAAGAGTAAAAGTCTAAACGTCAAGAAACGACCACGACATCCGAAAACTAGAGAAGAATGTGTTCTAGTGTGTTCTTAGGTTTTGGGGCAGGTTTAGGAGTGTCGTATGATGGTATAATCTTGTAAAAAGGTTTAAATTAGGTAAATATATGTTTATAGGGTCAAAATGTTCAAATACGACACCCCGGGGCCATCCTAAGGGACCCTGAGGAGGACCCCAACCTTGGCCAAGCAAGCTGCCAAGGCAGCTTGCAAATTGCACTTGGAGGGAACAGCTCCACGTCGCGGACTAGCTTCCCCAAGGAGCAAAAGTTTAGTTCACGACGCGGTCGTGTCGCGGAGTCTACTGTCTTGAAATTTAATTCCAAATATCTTCAGGGAACAGTTCCGCGTCGCGGACTTGTTCCGTGATGAAAATGCAGAAATTCAGAAATCGATCTTTACTTCATTAAAGAGTCCAAGTAAGTGAGGGGTATTTTGGGAACTTTAGGGGACGTGTATATAATGATTTTTAAGTTAAATTACCCCACTTTTTATCACTTAAACACAAAACCCCCAAAGATCAAAACCTAAAGTTCCTCCTTCTCTCTACTCTCTCTTCTCAAGGACTCCATTGAAGAAGATTGGAGCTTCAAGAAGAAGACCAACTCTCCAAGGTTTCAACTCGGATTTTCGTGGTTAATTCGTAAATAAGGTATGGTTGCTTATCACTCTTGGGATTCCTTTCCCCAAGAGTCCCCTTCAAGATGAATTTCAAAACCTCCAATTTCTAGGTTTCAATCCAAAAACATGGATTTTCTTTCTAAAGTAAAATTGATGTTATAAACTGACTTTGATTGATGTTATACAAACAAATATGGATGAATTTATGTTGTATTGGTGGTTTCTTGAAGAATTCCCAATGAGATACATGTTTCTCCTTCTTTTCCTAATTCTAACCCTAGTTTGTGTTGGATATTGAATGAAGGCTATGAATTGAATGTGATGTTATGTAATTCATATTTGTATGATGATTCTACCCTAGGTTATGTATAATTTCTATGAAATTAGGGTTGAGTCTTTGAATGAAGCCTTGAAGGCTATGAAGGGAATATGTCAATTGCTTATATTGATGTTGATTATGCTATTATTTCATGAATTACATTGTATTATGTATTGGTTATGAATTGCTTGGTAATTGAAGTATGGATGTCCCAAGAAGGGCTAGAAGGTATGAAGGTTGGTTCTTCTTTGAACTCAAGTATGAAAGGTGAATTACTTAGATTGTAATGATACAATACCTAATGTGTTATTGTGGTGTTGATGACCTAGTTTCCTCATCCTTAACCCTCTACACTTGAAATTAGCTATGAAGTATGTATGTATATTATGGTATGATTGCTATATGATTGAAAGGTAGTTCTCATGATTATAGTGTAATGTAAAGTGAAAGGTTTACTCACTTGCTAAGTGTCTCTAAAGTGAAAGGATTGTTACTCACTTATGAACACATACGAGCTATTATGGTAAGATGTCTACATAAGTGTCTAGTAAAGGCTAATGTGAACTTATGTGATGACTAAAAATGATTACAAAAGGGAATTAGATGCTTAGCACCGAAAGGGCATGTAAATGAGATGGGGGTCTCACGGGTTATTGCAATATTTCCCTAATGTAAAAGTAAATGAAGGTATGAAAGCTGTGAACTCTTACTAAGACTTTCTTAAGGGTTTCTACATAGTGTAAGGGAGGGTATGGGACTTCTCTTGCACATTGCACTTGTCAGATCCTAAGAGATGGTTGTAGTAATGTTCTCTTATGATTATGATGATTATGGCTTATGTATGTTAAAGCTATGTTATGTATGATCATTATGAATATGGTAAGTTATGATGAAATACGATCTTATGAATGTATGCATGAAGTAGGTTGCTTAATGTGATACTTGGCTTTTGATAGGGTTATGGCCTCCTATCCTTTGCATTGCACTAGTATTGCTTGAGTTGTTTACATGTTGGGATGATAGTATGTTGGTTTGGCTTATGATGTTTACCTTATGTGCATAATGGGTTTTTACTTGACCAAAGCATGTCTTTAACTAAAATGTCCTTTTATGCATATTTTAATGGTTTTTATGCATAGTAGTCATACTTAGTACGTGTGTTGTACTAACCCATATTTTCTTCCCTTTTCCCAAACAATGTAGGTTCGGGCCTTTGACGAGATTCAAGGCTATTTCTCAAGATACTTGGATTTGCTCCTCCAAGTGTGTGAGTCCTCAAGTCCGAGGACAAGACCCCTATGTTCTAGCTTTTTTAGTCTTTTGCTTATATTGAAAGACATTGTTGTATTTTCCTATTCTAGACTTCCTATTGGTGTAAGGGCTAAGTCCCAATTTCTATACTCCTATGTCTAGATTGTATGTTGAGACAAAGTTAGTTTCTATTTTTCATATATGAAGGGAAGTTGAACTTCCAAAGTAAAAGTTTTAATTTTTCCGCTATTTTTCTATGATATATGCAATGATGAATGCTAAGGGCTTGTATAAGACCTGTTAGAGGATGAGTACGCCGGTAACGACTAAGGGGTGCTCCTAGGTCGTTACAATTACCTTTCCCAAGCTCCTTCCCTGCTCCTCCTAAACCTTTATCTTTATCAGCTGCATGTCTCGTATCATGGTCATGCAATGGATTAAACTCATTTGCTAGGGGAATTATAACCTTTTTATGCTTTGTCTTTGCCCTTTTGTTGTTGATTTCCCTCTTGCTTCCTCCCATTTTCCTCCAATGTCCTGTATTTGTAGCCCTCTGCTCACCTGCAAGTTTGCTGTATCTTCTTCTTACTGATTGATATCCTGCCTTGAGCTTATCACTTCAGCTAGCCCACTATTCGCAAGAGTGTTGTTGGATTCTGCTTGTAGCTCAGTTCTCTTTAGTTGCCACTCTGTCGTCCTCTTCACTGCCTTATCTTTTTGTTTATGTTCTTCCCCTTTCTCATGAAATTTGTGCCCAATGATCAAACACTTAGGACAATAAACCGGCACCCATTCATAAACCACATTCTGAGTGAATTCTCTACCATTTGGATCTTCCACTTTAATGTCTACTGGCAGTTTTTGAATGATATCCATTTCTATTAGAACTCTAGCATAGGAAACTCTTTCTATCTGCGTAATGCATTCATCCGCAAAAAGAGGAATTTCCAACCCACTACTAATTCTACTTAATGATTGTACGCCCCAGCAATTCAACGGGAGGTTTGGGAATTTCACCCATACTGGGATAGTTTGCATAATCTCCTTTCCTAGATCAAACTCCGACACCCATGTCTTAACTATGATCGGCTTATTCCCTAGCATATGAGGGCCTGAATATAACACTTTATCCCTATTCTCAAAACTACCAAATCTTACCAAAAAATAACCATCATTATGGTAGAATGCCTTGGGTTTTGCTATATAGTTCCACTGCGCCGCTATGTAACGTTCTATTGCAGGAATTGTTGGCTCAACTCCCACCACATAGAGGATTAAAACATGTTTCCATCTTAGCGTCTCCGCCTCTACCTCATCTTTGCATAGCTCGATAATTTTCTCCCCATTACGAACTGTGGGAGCTATATAATTCTGCTTCATTCCCTGTGTAGCCATACGGTTTCTCTAAAATAGGTTCGACCATTTTTTCAGTTCAGGCTCTTCCTCCTTCCCTTCTTGTCCTTCCTTTCCTAGGATTAGCTCCACCAACACCTTGCTTGTGCTCTGGGTACTCTCAATTTGTGGCGTAGGTTCCCATTCTCCATGTGTTTCCCCTCTTCTCCGATCTAGTCTTCGAGTTTGGTGATGTAATCAGAACTGGGGTTTTGCTTAATTTCGGCCACTGCTCAACTGGTTTCGTCCCCCTATTATGAATCTTCCCTGTACTTAGTGTGCTTCCATTCCCTGCGCTCGTATGTCCGCCAATGACCATCTTCTTCCGACCTCTCGCCATGGTAGGCGTACGTTAGCTCACCTAACGTGCACCGAGAGAGGAAATTCTTCGCTTTTGTCATGACCAAAAGTACACCCTAGACGTGATATGACGTATAAGACCTCAGAGGCCCTACACAAGTCACTTGACATACACCTACACAACATAATAGAGAAAAACAAGAAATCTTATAAGAAGTAAAGAGTTTGACATAAGTGGAAGTACAATAAAGTCTTGACAAGCCATCTATTACCTCAAAAGAGTGGTCAGGACGTAACCGGTACACCACATACAAAGTCTAAAACTTAAAATAGAAGGAAAGGAAATAGAAGTATCATGGTCCTCGAAACACGAGGACTCACAACTCTTGATCTTCGAATCTTCAATGAGATCAACAAGCACAAATAGAGGGAGATAAATCATCACGCCCTACATTAATGAAACAATGTAGGCACAAGTATGCATTAGTACATGAAATTTACTAAGCATGAGAGGAATGCAATAAAACATGAGATGTGATCATATAGGACATAATGGAAGACATGATATCCATGACCAAGCTAACATAGTAAAAACCTTTAAATAGAATCATAATCATAAACATGGCCAATGCATCTTGATATCATAATAGGAAGCTTCATAAAACATTTGAAAGCCACTTAGTTCATTTTTTGAGATATTTACTTTTAACCGACATAAACCATGTGAGCTATAACACGAAATCTAGTGTCTTGTTCCCACACTGAAAAGAGATGTCAATACTTTCCAAGGCAACAACCTTAAATTTCTAGCTTAGGTGGATCCACTAGCTATGTTACTAAAGACAACCTATGGGGGCATGTAGTTAGGGACAAGGAGATTGCTACTAGAGACCTGACCTCTACTAACAGGAGAGCCTCCATCTCAATATCCTCTGGGTGCTAAGTAAAAATCCCAACAGAATAGTCATAAACATAAAATCATCATCATCCATGGAAAAGCACAATCCTTCAACTAAGAGCATCCGCCACCACAATCACCTTATCAGGATGATAAATGACACTCATATCATAATCCTTCAACAATTCAAGCCATCTCATTTGGTGAAGATTCAAATTCTTATGAGTGAACATATATTTCAAACTCTTGTGATTGGTAATCATATCTACATGAACACCACACAAGTAATGTCTCCAAATCTTAAGAGCAAACACCACTGTCGCTAACTCCAAATCATGAGTCATATAATTCTTTTCATGCATTTTCAATTTCCTAGAAGCATAAGCGATGACTTTTCCATGTTGCCTCAAAACATAACCAAGATCTACTCGTGAAGCATCATAATAAACTACAAACCATCTGATCCTTCTGGTAGTGTCAAAATAGGGGCTGAGGTGAGTTTATCCTTCAAATGTTGGAAACTTTTCTCACAAGCTTCCAACCATAGGGAATTCACTTTCTTTTAAGTCAACATTGTCAAAGGCGAAGCAATAAAGGAAATTCCTTCCACAAACTTTCTATAATAATCGACCAAACCTAAGAAACTCTGTATATCTGAAGCAGACAAAGGTCTAAGACAATTCTTAACCACCTCAGTTTTCTTAGAATCGACTTGAATACCTTCACCGGAGACAATATGGCCAAGGAAAGCAACAGACCTCAACCAAAACTCACACTTTTTAAACTTAGCATACAACTCATGATCCTTGACAATTTTCAACACAATCCTCATATTCTCAACATGTTCATCCTCACTCTGTGAGTAAATCAAAATTTTATCGATAAACACAATCACAAACCCATTAAGGTATTAATTAAAAATCCTATTAATCAAATCCATAAACACTATTGGGTCATTAACCAAACCAAATGACATTACCAAAAACTCATAATGACCATACCGAGTTCGAAAAGCCGTCTTAGGAATGTCTGTCTCTTTCAACATCAATTGGTGATAACCCAATCAGAGGTCAATCTTAGAGAAATAACTTGCTCATTGGAGTTGATCAAACAAATAATCTATCCTTAGAATAGGATACTTATTTTTAATGGTATCCTTACTCAATTTCTGATAGTCCATACCCATTCAGAGAGAACTATCCTTCTTTTGAATACAAAACACCGGAGCACCCCATGGTGAGATACTCGGTCTAATAACGCCCTTATCCAACAAATACTTTAATTGGTCCTTAAACACCTTTAGTTCTGTTGTGGCCACACGGTAAGGTAGAATAGAGATAGGCTACGTATTTGGGAGAAGGTCAATACAAAAGTCTATTTCCCTTCTGGGAGGAATACCAGGAAGATCATCGAGAAACACTTCTGGAAAGTCAATTACAGTTGGAACTAATTCAAGAGTAGGGGTTTCATAATTTGTATCCCTAACCCGAACTAGATGATAAATGCAACCCTTGGAAATCATATTTCTAGATTTTAAGCAAGATATAAACTGACCCTTAAGAACATAATTTCCCCCTTCCCATGACATGATAGGTTCATTCAGAACCTTGAATGTGACCAATCGGGTCCTACAATCTATGGAAGCATAACATGCATGAAGCCAATCCATTCCAAGAATAACATCAAAATCTGATATATCAATCTCTGCAAGTGTAACACCTTAGATTTTGGAAAAGGAAAAAAATTCATGTTTTTGCTACTGCTTGTGTTCTATGGGTCCAGTCTACGGGTCGTAAAGGATTTTACGGACCGTAGAAGGCATCCGTAGAAAGTGGGATTGGGTTTTGAGAAAACTCAAGTTTCTGAAGTTGAGTCTACAATTGACCAGGTTAGTACCTAAAATGATCTACGAGTCGTAGATATGTCTCGTACGAAGGTCCTAGACTTAGTGAAATTTTGAAGGTCAAAGTTGAGTTCTAAGGTTGGGGTCTACGAACCGTAGAAATTTCTATGGGCTGTAGAAAGGTATCGTCAAAAGTTGGTCAAATTTAAGGCTTCTGTACTTTTCTATGGATGACCAATACAGTCTGTAGTAAGTCCTACAGATAGTAGGTCCAAACCATAGAAGGGTTTGACAGTTATTTTTAAGAGGTTTTTGGGTCTCCCCTAAGTGTTTAATGCCTACAATAAGTCGTTTTGATCCGAATTATAAACTCTATAAATACCCCTCAAGTCCTAAAACTACCCTTTACAAATCCTTTACCCAAATTCCCGATTTCCCTCCAAGTTCTTCCCCAAATTTCTCTCTCTAGCTAAGGAAGAATAAGCTAGGGTTTCAAGGTCAAGTCTCCAATTCACCATAGCTTTTAAGATTTGATCGTAAAGGTATGTTAGTATTCACCAATGGAGTCCTCTCTTCCATTGGGTCCCCAAAGATCCAAATTCTCCAAGTTAAATTTAATTGATCAAAGTTAGGATTTTCTCCAATCTTCATGGGTTCTTTTTAATTATGATTCAATTATCTATTTTCTATCTCCTAATACATTAATTGAAGTATTTACATGATTTTGAGTTGAATTCAAATGAACCCATGCATGATCCATGATTTTTGACTATGAACACATGATGAAACTTATGAACTATGAACTATGAACTATGAATTTATGAAGATATACATGTTTTTATGAGAATGATGTTTATGAATTAAGGATGCTTTTAGATGAAAGTATCAATGAAAATTGTGAAGGGTTTTCTCACATATTAATATGATCATGATTATGAAAAGATTTCTCACATAAAGATTCACAAGGTTTAAAGGTTTTCTCACCTAAGTTTAATCAAGATTTAAGGAGCTATCCTAAATAACTTTAGGTTGGATTGGTAACTTAATTTTGCCTTTCAATGGATTATAATATGAATAAGATTAATGACTATTCCATGGGATTTTACTTAGCAACGAGAGGCTATTGAGATGGAGGCTCTCCCGTTAGTAAAGGCCAAGTCTCTAATAGCAATCTCTTTGTTCCTACTACGTGCCCCCATATGATGTCTTATCTAGTGGATCCATGTAAGCTAGAAGTTTAAGGTTGTTGCCTTGGAAGGAAATGATATCTCTTTTTGGTGTGGGATAGACATCGGATTCCATGCTTTAGCTCACATGGTCTATGTCGGTTAATGGTAAACATCCCATAATAATGAACTAGGTTACTTTCGAGTACCACACTAAGGGTTTTAATATGTTACGATTGCATTGACCATGATTATTACTTGTGTTTTCTAACATCTTATATTATGCTTTAGCTTGGTCATTGCATGTCATGTAAGTTCTTTTTAGCATGATTTCATATCTTTTATTCATTGCTATCATACTTAGTACATTCCATGTCCTAATACATACTTGTACCTACATTGTCTCATAATATAGGGTCTGACGCTCCTACCGCGCACACTTGTGGCTAGTTGATCTCTGTTAACGATTATTGATTGGTGAATCCTCATGCTCTAAGGACTAAGACACTTTTATAACTTTTTCAGTTTTCAGACATTTTGTATGTGGTGTATGAGTTACGTCCCAACCACTTCTTGTGATATATTAGATGGCTTGATGAGACTATGTTAGACTTCCGCTTTGTTAAATTCTTTTATGATATGAGAATTGTTCTTTAGAAATCTTTATTTCAATCATCTTGTATTATTTATTCTAAGTGGCTTGTGTAAAGTCCTTTTTGTGGTTCTATACGCCATGCTACACCTAGGGTATACTTTGGGTCGTGACAAACTTGGTATTCAAAGCATAAGGTTCAGA